ATTTCATTTGTGAACTTGGCGATTCATGATATCAGAAGTGATGGTGTTTTGACTTCCCTTATGGCTTCAGGGCCGTAGCTGGACGAAACATTTTACCCACCAAAAAATTGGAAAAAAGTACAATAGTCGTCTTGGGAATATTTTTTGTGAGGCACACATGAGAGACTTAATACGTGCTATTAACGAAATTCAACTGCTTTGGTCGGCTAGTTCCAACTTATATACAATTGTTGCTACTATCTGAATGCCTTTACACTTTCACGTATAACACTATTCATCCAATGGATAACCTTAGCACTCTTGTGTCTAACTCAAGATTGATATAGTTAAAAAAAAAAAAAAGAAAAAAAAGATGTCGACAGAATTCTGGCTGGAGGTTAACAAAGCATTTCCTCATGCATTGAATATAGTTTGAATTAATAAGCACGCCAACACAATTTCGGTCAGGTTATATAATTTAAAAACAATTTAATTAAAAAAAAAACAGCTTTCGAATTCGCTTGATCAGATGATACGAAATTGCCAATACTTACATACAAACACTTTTTTCTTTAGTTATACATAACAAAATTCTTAGGCTACGCAGCAGGCGCCAGTTATTGTTGTTGTTTTTTTTCCAGGGCGATCAAGGGAGAAATTTGAGGACGGGCGCGCACTGTTCACCTCGCGTGCTCTGTAACAACTAATTAACCAATAAAATACTCCGATTGAAGGGCGATTTAGTTTTTGAAAATCAATTACTTTTCAACTTTTTAAGAGCTACAATGAAGAGATCATTCCTCGTAATCGCTGGCCTTTTGGCTTTCATGTTAATGGTCACCTTAACGGAGTCAAAATCAGGAGGAAGAAAGTCCACGGAGAATGACGAATCCCACACGAAGATGAATCAAAAGCACGAGGAAGAACTCGAAGAGGAACCAGAAGCCGAGCATTATTTCTCCAGTGCATCTGGTGAAGGTCAGTGAATCTACCAAAGCCTTTATCGATTTTCTAATTAAGTAACAATATCCTGTGTGGCACTGAGGCGTTTGAAAGGAAAAGAAAATAGGGGCAATTAAGGTGAGCGAGCACGTAAAGCTGAAATGGATACAGATCTTCAAGCAAGTGGGGGTCCCTTTCAGCCATGACCCTAAGACAAGAAAGGGGCCCCGGCCTCAAAAATTATTGGGACCTTACGAAACTACGACGGCAATGTCAACAGGAACTTCAAAAAGGCAACATGTTTAAAAAGCAAAACAACGCTTTTTTGTAGATTCTCCGTCGTCCTTGTACAACTGCGGGGTAAAATGACCAAAGTTTAGCTTCAAGATTAAGTTCTCTTGAGAACGGGAACGGCAAGGTGATAAGTTTTACAGTCTAACCTCTCCTTACGGACACCTCTCTATTACGGACATAACTGCCACATAATATTTAAAAGGTTCATATTCATTCAGTAGACAGTAGATATTCAGCCAAACAACTGTGCTTGTCATAACTTCAGATCAGATGTATTATTCAAAAACTGTATCATTAAAAGGATCATTAACACCTCAGACTGGGGTGATCTGACAATGTTAGCAATCAAATTTCACTTAAATGAAATCTGACTGGTTGCAACACTACAATTTCTTGAATACTATTTGCAAAAATGGTTTTTCTTTAACTGTGAGGCAAAACAGGGCCTACCTTGACTGCAAATCGCACAAAATTGTACTTCTGTAAAAAACTAAAAACACCTCATGAAATATGTCTTAAATAAATAAATTAAAAACCATACATTCCCTACCTCTATAATACGGACACCTCTGTAAAGCAGACACTTGGTTCTGTCCCTTTGGTGTCCGTATTAAAGACGTTTGGCTGTATTTCTCAACCTGCGGGCTTCACTGTGACCTAAAATAAGGTGGGGACCCGGGTCCTTCGCTCCCGCCAGATGGGCCAATATTAAGGGAATTCGAGGGAGGAGGGCGGAAATCGATGTGATTATTTGAATAAAACATTTCTTACGCCGGGTAGTGTCTGTTTGTAAGTACAACACGAAAATTAGAATCTTTCCTATCTTTCCTACTTTTGATCTGTCCTTTGGAAGGAGTTTAATCAAGTGACGTGAGAAATAGTATAGAGCAACAAACTGTTATGTACCTCAATTGCAAGGAGAATATCCGGGCAACTTGCTAAGCGCTCAAATTTAAAAAAAAAACCTAACTAGTAAAGTCATGTAAAAAGACAGATACAACTTGTCTGACCCAACAAACGGTCTTAACTTAATTTAGATAGACCTAAATTAGAGTTTTATTCGTCTCATGAAAAGTTCGACGTTTGTTTGGCCTAGGCCTTAGACCCTAACGGTCCAACACTTATCCTTCCATATTTTACCTCAATTGGCAACGAATGCATCAACACACAAATATCAACATTTGATCATCGAATATGGTCAAAGCGAACATGGATGATTGTTTTGTTTTGATTGTTACCCCAACGTGGGAAATTTAAGAGTCAAGCCTTACTCAGCGCTTTGCTTCACATTTATTGCATTCTGTTTTCCCGAAGCCTTATTCTCCACACAAATTCAAAAGCTTTTATAACCGGTTATTAACCAGTCACATCTTTCAATCCAACACAAGTTCTTACTCTAGTCTTGAAACTATCGTGAAATTTTTGGAAAAGATCTACCATGTCCTTATGATTTAACAATTTTTATTTTTCAGGTTCGGGACACAAGTCTGACCCGAATATGGCGCCATACCCAAGACCATACCCTTACCCTTACCCTTATCCCTACCCCTATCCCTACCCTTCTCCCTACCCCACCCCCTACCCCTCCCCCTACCCTTATCCCTACCCTTCTCCCTACCCCACCCCCTACCCCTCCCCCTACCCTTATCCGTACCCTTATCCTTACCCATCACCATACCCTGCACGGCTTAATGGGCATCGCCAAGAGAAGAATGGGAAGAAAATCAGCGATCAAAAGAAGGAAAAGAAACAAGAGAAGCAACATTAATTTAATAAAGCTTGGCTCTTTGTGTTCTAAATTAACAGACCAATTCTTTTGCCTTGCTAGTGTGAACTGTTTCCGGTATTAGTATAGGTAATAGCATGACTTGTAGTTGAATTTGGTATAAGTACCACGAGTGATATTTTGAAATTGTTAAACGTAATTTCACGAGCCGTTAGGCGAGCGAAAGTTGAGACAGTTTTGAAATATGACGATCACGTGTGGTCGTATTTATGCTAAATAACAAGTACAAATCAAAGACATGCTATTATTTGTTTATACTACTACCCGCAAAGGTTTTGTAATTTTCATATGTAGGTATTTCAACTGATTTCAGATTAAGCTGAAATACCACTGCTCTAAGCAAGTCAAATTGCAGAAATTTCCCATTAGTAGTATATTAGTAGAAATAAATTGTGATTCGCCTGAATGAACGCCATTACGTGTTATGTATTATTTTAACATAAAACACTGTTTGGTTAGCTTAAATGCAGGTCAACTGAGTGAAAACGCCCTATAACGTGTCCTCTCTGATCCACTTCATTCTATCGACCACTGAGTGTATGCGATGCGGCTAAACGTAACTCTTGGAGTTGTTTGCATATTACGCCTTCGATTCCCTAGTCAAGGTGATATAATTCATGACTCCTGTTTTGAAAGCCAGTAGGTTTTCATTTCACCCTTTCCCTGAAAAAAAAAGAAAACGAATTGGAAAGAATTATAATATGGTACAGACCAACCTTCATGTTTAAGATATCTGCATCTTATTTAATAAGAAATCATTTTCCTGCCAATGTTGATCTCCTCCATGCCAGACCAATAATTGTTACAGTAAAATTTAATTGCTTTAATTTTCATTTTTACATAATCTGATGTCTAGTGCTCAGCACATCCATATGATTTCCCAGGTATATGACTTTTTATCTTACCTATACAGGGTAAGACCTGAGTAGGGGGACGTTTACCAATAATCCCATGCATTGCATGACCGAGTAAACGGAAACGCCTGGGAACTAGCCATTTTAAACTTAGAGCTTAATAACCCTGCTCCAAAGGCTCTGCGGCTTTTCTTCTGCGGAAGAGGAGTCAATGGGTTTCGAGGAGAGCCAAATAATCATGCAATGAAGAACTTAAAATCGAAGTTTTTCGGCACCTTCCGCGAACTGCGAATGTTAAGAAGTCACGTGACTAGTGCCTTGCCGTCAGTTTGCGGTTTAAGGTTCACATTTGTGAGGCTAGACCACGCTCCAGAGGTAAGTGATTTACCGCAAGGTTTTTGCACCCTAAAACATCACAATCCCACGTTTGAGAACAAATACGACTTTGTAGAACTCTTTTACTTATTGATTATGTAATTCTATTTTAAAAAAGCGTAATTTTGAAGACAATTCCTGAGCTAGAGTAGAAATAAATGGGTAAATGAAAACAAACATGGCAGCAGCGAGCTACTACCCGCGAATCTTAATACCAAATATGGGCAGACGGGTAACATGAAACCGTTAACCGCAAACCGCAGTTCGTCGTTTGCAGTAATGAACAAACCTAGATCTTTAATATCTCTTGGCAAACGAGCTCGAGAATGAGGGTAGCAAAGGGTTTATGCGTGACGCGTGATTAGGCCGAAATTTGGCATGTGACGCGTGAAATTTTCCATAATACGAAAGTGATCTGTGAGACCACTTATGGATATGAAGCGTGATTTATCTTGTAAGATATGCGGGACTAGTGAATTATTTGTCCCATTTCGAGAAAATCAATGGTATAGAAATTATAGATTGAACAGCGCCGCCGGTTGCATTCGTTGCGTTACGTTTTTGTCCTGGTTAATGATTACCAATAAAGAACCTAAAAACGGCATACGGTCAGTGTATACAATGTATATCTTTGACATATTTCAATATGACAACCGTCGAAGTCTGATCCATGATGACTGTGGTTCCGGTTCGTAGCCTCTTTTATTAACGGGCGGGAGGGGCTGATGAGTAAGTTCGTGCCTCGTGAAAATTTATATGAAGCACGGGAAATTTGTCAAAATTTGGACGTGAAACGGGACCATGACTTCCCAGTTGCTACCCTCGAGACTGGGTAAACTTGTTTTGGTTTTATTTAACAATGCAAATTCTAATGACTACCATTGACGATTTGTTATGAAAGTGGAGCTTGACGGTCACTGAAATGTAAAAGCTGAACAAAACCTTACTTTAACGCTGACAAAGCCTCTGAACTCCAACGTAAATTCACTCATATGAGTCAGCATATTCGTAGTGTCTTGGCTTACATGAATCTTCTGCGCTGAAAATAGATGAAAACTAGTGTTGACCTTCAAACATATTTTTAAAGGGTGCTCTTCGATATGGGTGAGCACCGGTGAGATTGAGTTTAGGATTGTTTTGTCCTTAACAGGGTCAGGGTTTCAAACCCTCAGCGGCTCAACCATACCCACTTGGGGCAGCGATTGCTGTAAGACTGAGCGTGCCAAGTTGATTGTTAAAACAGACTACTGAGTAGGCGTTTGATTCTTAATTGTCCTTGATCCACAGAAGCTTAGCATGCAGTGAACTATGACAAGAGAGAAGAGGCGGATTCTTCCTCTCTTTCCTCTTCCCATCCAATGTTTCTCCTAGGGCTTTTCCCTTAAAAACAAGAGGAGCAAAGTGCTTTGATTTTACGCTAATCCGATTGCGACAGCTTAGTTTATTACAAATTGCGAATGGACCAGTTCTTGCAAACTGCGACCGCTTTTTTGTGTGTGACATGGTTTATAACAAATTGCGACGTGTATTGATTTATGGGATGATATCGATTTTTAAAAATTGCGACATTACAGCCTTTCTCTACCCTGTCTACCGAACTAACAGTTAGTTTGTCATGTGACTGGCGTGGGGCTTGAACTGGCCCGACCCTATTGACATCATGCCTACAACACAGACATCATTATTTAAGACGTTGCCGCGCTGGTGTTTTAAGCCTGGTCATCAACGTTGGTCAAATATTGATCAATGTTGGATCACTCATACTCACGCATTCCTGTTGTCTGCATTCGTGAGGCCGTGTTGACAGTGTCACCAAACAAACAATAACGAGGCATTTTGATTCCCACAACTCCTGCCGCACAAGGGCCTGAAAAATTTCATTGATAGATGATATTCTTAAGAACATAGGTTATGTCCTTAAAACGTAAGCGTCCTTAAATATTAATTTAATATTAATTCCTTAATTACCATTTTCAGGTCTCTAAGTTTCGTTCACTGGTTTTTGGGACTTAAAGGATATTCTAAATTCGCCCCAAAATCGTTTTAAATATAAACTGGTCGGTAAAAACCCAGTGTCACGAGTAAATGAAAGTTGCTCGCTCCAAGTTATGGGCTCCTGTTAACGTGAATTAATCTGGCTGCATGTACCCTTCCAAATAAACTCGAAGCGGATTAATTTAGGTTTCTGGGAAACTGTCCACCTACCCCTCCCCTAAGCTAACATTAACACTTATTCTCATCTAGGGCAAAACGTTGGCTAAGGGGAGGGGTAGGTGAGCAGTTTCCCAGGAACCTAAATTGATCCCCAGCCACTACTGGGTCATGTTGTGTTGAATTCATCTTTGGGACTGTTTGGACCTTTTAATAGTCAGTAACCCCAGAACATTCCCATGGTGCAATTCGATACGACACCGACCCAGTCTCACGCGAAACTCAAATGGGATCATATCACGTTTCTAGGAAACTGCCCACCTACCCCTTCCCTAAGCCAACATTTTGCCCTAAGAAAGAACTAAGTGTTAATGTTGGTTTAGGGGAGGGGTAGGTGGGCAGTTTTTCCTTAAATGGTCTCAAGGAAGAGAATTAAAAAAAAGAAGGGAACAAAAAGCACCGTATTTACTCTAATAAGCGCCGCGGCGCTTTTTAGAGTTTTCACGCCTTAAGTGCGGCGCTTATTCGAAAGTTGGACGCGTCGAAGAATTGTATTAATTACGGTATTATTATTTTTTGTATCAAACTAACAGATCTAAAGTCTTTTGATTTTGATCACGGCCGCGGCACTTATCTTTTTTATCCCAAATGCTGCGCTTATTCGAGGGCAGCGCTGAATCAGAGGCAGCGCTTTTTCGATTAAATACGGTACTTGAAACGATTTAATGTACTTTTGACCTCTACTGTACTTCGGTTCGGAATAAAACTTACCAGTGTGTATGCCAATTCTCACGCAAAGATGACCGCCTTCGATTTCGCTCACAGCAGGACTCAATCTTTCCATAAGACCCACCAAATCAAGTGCCATCGAGGCTATCTGAACCACGTGATCTTGATTGGGTTCCGGAAGCCCAGACACCACCATGTAAGCATCACCAATCGTCTCCACCTTATACACGTCGTATTTGTCGATTTGATTGTCAAAGAGCCCGTAGAGCCAGTTTAACATCTGCGTAACTTTCATCGGCGAAATACTGGCGCATATTTGGGTGAAGTTGACAATGTCACTGAAGAAGACTGTCACGCTTTCGAACTGCTCTGCTGTCACGTTCCTTCCGCTCTTTAGCTGCTCTGCTACTGGGTGGGGCAGCATTTGATAGAGTAGTGTGTCAGCTCTTTCTTTCTCTTCTTTGAGATCTTTAGTAATTCGATGAAGCTTGGCAGCGTAGGCCTGGATCGTATAAACGCTGTACACAAAAAATGGCATCAAAATGAGAACAACAAAACCAAACACTAGAAGCTTGAGAATCAAATCGCGGTCGCTTTCACTGACGTGGTCCTTAACTTCTTCGAGGATCAAGGTGCCAAGTTGCT